TTTCCCCAAATTCCCATTTTTTCCAGGATTTCGAGGGCCCCGAGCTGGTGGAGCTGTCGTTCTCCAAGAACGGGCGGGATTTGGGCTCCGCTTTCCAAATTCCCAAAGAGGCKTTGGGGACGCGGGCGCTGCTGCCCCACGTTCTGTGCAAAGGATGCGCCGTGGAGATCAACTTCGGGCAGCGCCCCGAGCCCCTGGCACCCCAAAATGAGGGATTTGTGTTCATCCATAATGTTCCTGTCGAGGAAAGAGTGAGAACCGAAATGGGGCCCAAAAATATTGAGGATTGTGAGGTAAAAAATGGGAGAAAATGGGAAAAAACGGGAAAAAAATGGGAAAAATATGGAAAAAATGGGAGAAAATGGGGTAAAAATGGGTTCATGTTCATTCTCAATGTGCCCATGGAGGGAAGGATCCATATGGAAATGGGGACAAAAAATATTGAAGATTGTGAGGTGAGAAATGGGAAAAAAATGGTAAAAATGGGAAAAAAATGGGTTAAAAATGGGGTAAAAATGGGGTCGTTGTCCACAACCGAGGGGTTGGGGTTAATCCTCAATGTGCCCATGGAGATCAACTTTGGGCAGCGCCCCGAGCCCCTGGCACCCCAAAATGAGGGATTTGTGTTCATCCATAATGTACCTGTGGAGAAGAGAGTGAGAACGGAAATGGGGCCCAAAAATATTGAGGATTGTGAGGTGAGAAATGGGGAAAAAACGGTAAAAATGGGAGAAAAACGGTAAAAAATGGGGTAAAAATGGGAAAAAAATGGGGCAAAAATGGGTTCGGGTTGATCCATAATGTTCCTGTGGAGGAGAGAGTGAGAACAGAAATGGGGCCCAAAAATATCGAGGATTGTGAGGTGAGAAATGGGAAAAAAATGGGAGAAAATTGGGAAAAAACCGGTAAAAATGGGGTAAAAATGGGTTTGAGTTCATCCCCAATGTGCCCATGGGGAAAAGGATCCGTACGGAAATGGGGCTCAAAAATATTGAGGATTGTGAGGTGAGAAATGGGAAAAAACGGTAAAAAAATGGGTAAAAATGGGGAAAAACAGGGAAAAAAGTAGAGTAAAAATGGGGTAAAAATGGATTTGTGTTCATCCATAATGTGCTCGTGGAGGAAAGGATCCATATGGAAATGGGGCCCAAAAATATTGAGGATTGTGAGGTGAGAAATGGGAGAAAAATGGGAAAAAATGGGGTAAAAATGGGTTCGTGGAGAAGAGAGTGAGAACTGAAATGGGGCCCAAAAATATTGAGGATTGTGAGGTGAGAAATGGGAAAAAATTGGGAAAAATGGGAGAAAATGGGGTGAAAATGGGGTAAAAATGGGTTCGTGGAGGAGAGAGTGAGAACTGAAATGGGGCCCAAAAATAATGAGGATTGTGAGGTGAGAAATGGGAAAAAAATGGGAAAAAATGGGATTGTTGTCCGCAAACGAGGAGTTCGGGTTATCCATAATGTTCCTGTGGAGGAGAGAGTCAGGACTGAAACGGGGCTGAAAAATATCAAGGATTGTGAGGTGAGAAATGGATATTTTTGGGATATTTTTGGGAATTTTTTGGAATTCCTGTCCCCGTTTTAGGTTCTGTTGATGGTGAGGCTGCCGGGCTCGGGGAATTGCTGTGATTTTCTGTGTTTTTTCCAGGATTTTGGGATTTTTTTGGGGATTTTTTTTTTATTTTTCAGATATTTTGGGATATTTTGGGAATTTTTTTGGAATTTTTATCCCCAGGTTCTGCTGATGGTGGGGCTGCCGGGCTCGGGGAAGACCCAATGGGCTCAGAACCACTCGCAGGAGAATCGGGACAAACGTTACAACATCCTGGGAACCGAGCGCGTCCTGCACCAGCTCAGGGTACTGGGATAAACTGGGAATGGATTGGGGGGAATTGGGATGGATTGGGAGGGACTGGGAGGGGATTGGGAGGGACTGGGATGGACTGGGA